AATAAGTTACATATATATGTAATTTAAAAATACTAAACTGTTTTTGTGAGAGATGAGCATCTGAAGATCTTGGAGTCTGGGGGGGGCCTTGAATCTAATCCCCTAAGGATATGCATAAGTAGTGTGTGTTTATGTATAATTTTTTAAAACTTCCTTATTTCTTAGTATTACAGATATTTCCTAGTACAGTTAGCCTTCCGTGCCCATGGGTGCATATTCAGTCAGCCAAGGATTAAAAACATACAAGGCAGGTTGTGTCCACTGAGCTTGCGGACATTTAGTTCAGAGTCTAACTCTATATGTAGTGTTATGTTGTATTTGGTGTTATAAGTAGTATCAAGATGATCTAAAGTATATGAGAGATGTGTGCAGGCTGTATGCAGCCCCATATGCTGTGTATGTAATGCTCTCAGAACTGTATCTAGCATATAGTAAGTACCCGTGAATTATGCATAATGGTTCATTCTTAGTTAGAGATGCACCGTGGGCTGAGTGCCGGCTAGAGTGAGGCTATGCAGTGGTTAGTGCTGTGTCCAGCCGTGGCAATAAAACTCGTACAGCCTTTACCAGACACCGGAGACCCTGAAATGTTTTCTGTTTGTTACCACAGCCACCGCGGCCGCCATCACACACCTGCCTGACAGATGGAGAACTGATTCCGTGAAGCCCCCAGGTGGTCTGGCTCTGGAGCCCAGACTCTAAGAACCGTGTAGCCCCAGAGGCTGCTCAGTCTGTAACCTGACAGAACAACCGGCTGACTTCTCTTATTCTTGGCCACATTATCTGCAGAGGCAGTACTCATGGCTGGTCCTCTGTGGAGGGCCGCAGCCTTTATACAGAGACACAGGTCAGGCCTCTTGGTGGGTTCCTGTGTGGGCCTGTTTGGGGTTCAAATCTCATTTCACCTCTTCTCAGATCCCATAGTCCAATGGCTCTACCAGTACTGGCCTCAGGGCCAGCCGGCTCCTCTTTCCCCTCAGCTCCAGAAGCTCTTCCAAGAGGTGCTACAGGACATGGGTGTCCCCTCGGGTCACTGCTACAAGCCTTTCACTGCCTTCACTTTCCAGCCCGTGAGTGCTGGCTTCCCAAGATTTCCTACTGGGGCCGTGGTGGGAATCCCTGCCATCTTTCTGGATGGCTCTGTGACCGCCATCGACCATACTGTGATCATACATGGGCAAAGAGTGGATTGGCAAAGCCCAGCAGGCACCAGGCTGAGAGACGCCCTGACCCTGTCTCATAATGCTCAGAAGTTTGCCTTAGCCAAAGAGGTGGTATACCTGGAGAGCAATGCGGCTGCCCTGCAGAGCCTGCCAGCCCCGGCTTGCCTCGCAGGAACCTGGGTACTAAGTGTGGGTGTCAAGCATGCCCTGGGGCTCTATAGAGGACCCTTGAGCCTTCGAGCTGCCTTCAATTTGGTGGCAATAGTGGCAAGCTTCGTGACCTACACCTTTTCCAAGGACTCCCTCACTGTCGCCCTGGAAGGCTGGCTGGATCGCCGCACAGCCTCTCTGTCTGCAGCCTATGCCCAGGGTGGAGTGGAATTCTATGAGAAGATCCTGTCAGGCAACCTGGCCCTCCGAAGTCTCCTGGGCAGACAAGGGGAGAAGCTGTACACACCAAGTGGAAACATCGTTCCCAGACACTGGTTCCGCATTAGACATTTACCCTACACCACCCGCCGGGACTGTCTACTACAGATGTGGAGGGGGGCACTCAACCCAGGGCGCTCCTGAGAAGCCAGGCAACAGGGCACCCCTGGTTCACATAGGCACCACCCTGTGATGAATTCTGGGGGAGTCTCTTGATATGGTCGCTTCCACAGCCCAAGGTCAGAACAGTGACCATCTTTGGAGTTAAAGAGCTCAATTCTGCCCTCACCATGAATGAATATGGTATCTGTGGGGTGAGTCCCTAAATCAATCTGAGTCGTGTTTACCTCAAATGGGAAGTGGGAAGTGTTGGACTGCATGAGATTGTGAACCTGGGGGCCTGGTGGCAGAGAGAGAAGCATAAGTGAAATAAATGGGGTGCTCATCCTTCTCGATCGTAAATAAATGGGGTGCTCATCCTTCTTGCTCTCTGAATTCCAGTGGGCTATGGAAGACGCCCATGCATCCCTGCCAGACATGCCCCTGGTCTATCATCTGTCTCCCACAGTGGAGAACCACCCCAGTCTACCTGACGTCAGATAGTTTAACTTATTCCTCGCGTTTAACCCTTGGACAGGAGACCCCCACAGGGCGGGATGAGAGCTGTGGTCAGGGAGCCAGGCCTAAGTTGCCCATTTATGTTACCTTCTAGCTGGAAATCGCATCTTCCCTGGGGTATTCCGGAAGGCTGTGGGCCTAGGATCAGTATAACTCTGGGAAAGGGATTAGGCCACACTGAGGGAAGGGCACTGTGGCAGCTTGTGTTCCTTGTAGAACACCTAAAAGGAGGGTGAACCAGGCCAGACTGGAGTGACAGCGTGGGATACCACTAGTTTCTGCCCAGTCTTTGTATGTGATTGAGGGTTCAGTGTGCTGCCAGCTGCAGGTCCTTCCCCTGGGCGTGACAGGCTGAGCTACCCAGGACAGGGACTTCACACATCTTGCAGGTCCCTAGCACCTAGGATGGCGTCCAACATGGGCCTGATAAATGGATGATGTTTCCTTTTCTGTTGATGTGGTAAAGACACTGATCAAGAGCAACTCCAGCAGAGTTTACTTGGCTCACACTTCCAAGTCATCCATCTTTGAGGGAATTCAGAGCAGGAACTCAAGGCAGGAGCCGTAGAAGAAGGCTCCCCTCCATTATCTTCAGGAAGAATTTGTACCTGGCCTTGCACAGTGATATCTGGAGGGCACAAGTAACTATGGCTTTGGTTTGTTTTAGGATTTGAGATGAGGTCTCAGTGTTTCCCAGGGTGGTCTCAAACTCATGGGTTCAAGTGGTCTTGCCACCTCAGCCCCACTGAGTAGCTGGCACTGCAGGTGCCCCACCAGACCCATGCAGAGAGTGGGGCTGCGCACCTGTGATCGCAGCATTTGGGAGGTCTGGGCAGGAGGATTACTAGTTTGAGGCCAGGCTGTGCTATATAGTGAAACCCTGTCTTAGGATAGCAAAACCCTGGGCATGGTGGCTCCACCTGTGATCCCCAGCCCTTAGCAGATTGAAGCAGAGGGGCTAGCCTGGGTTACATAGTGATGAGTTCCAGACTGAGCTAGGCTGTGACCCTGTCTCAAAAGGCAAGACTAGTCTGTCTCCTCACCCCCCCGGCTTCCTGTTGTACCTTCCTCCAAGACACCTTCCATGAGAGGTGAGCAGAAGCAGGTGATGTTTTCCTGAAACTCCAGAATGGTCAGCTAAATAAAACACTTAAAAACATCCAACCTTCCGTATCTTTTTGTACCAGCAGAATTACAGGAAGGTAGCCCCAGTGTGTGTGTGGGGGGGGGGGG